GCAGCTGACTTTGATGGAGATCCGCTAAAACATTTAAAGTCGGCCCTCCTGCATGTCAGTATTAAACTCGGATTAATCAATTTTCTTACTGCCCAGGTCTGGATGTCATGTATAATGTGAGTCGATTGGAAGCAAAATACTCTGGTGTTTTTCTACAAGAGTAAGAGTGCTCGCCACCACAGAGCCACCACAGAGGCTCCTATCGCCGAAGCACTTTCATATAACTGACTGGAGATGTTTCTTCCCGCATGCTACTTGGTAGACTTGTTCCTCTTGTTCCAACATCGACGTGCTAAAGCAATCCGACTTCAATCAACGGTTTATTCGTTATGCAACATGCTTTCCACAAGTAAAAAGGGATAGAGTAAACAGAAAAACATTGGATATACAGCGAGACTGCACTTTAAGCTTAATTTTACAATTATTCAAAATAAACTGCTATGTCCTTCTGGATCTTTAGGAGAGCTGGAAACAAATGGTCTGGCTTCAACTCCCTGGAATCACCAATGGATGATGTGTTCCGCCTCTGTAAGCCAGAACAGCTGCCTCATGAGTCTGACCCACTAATTCACGTCGTACACATCGCGCACTGCTAACGACGCGGTCAGACGTAAGACAAATTTAAGTTTGTCCTGCCCATTCCTGCAGAACCATGAACTGTGTAACCTGAAAAGCCGAACATTCCTCCAGTACCTGAGTTGGCGGCAAAGTCATCTGCGATTTGGCTGATCAGATATGTCATACTGCTTGTTTTTCTTTACCCTCTCAAGCGACATATTTGCTTTGGCGCAGAACTTTATGGCAGAAGACTCGAGTACTAAGTTCCTTCAAGATATTTCTACTCAGCACCGTCTTAGAACGCTCATTAAGACCAGAATTTATTAGTTCTGCGTGATTCCAGTGATGCTGCACTGCGCCGAGACATGGATCTTTCTATCAGCAAGCCGAAAACTTTATATTTGAACTATCGGGGGCAATTCCTCCGCATCAGATGGTGTGATTTAATTCATAGTGCTCAGGTGGCGGTAAGAACAGGTCTTCGTAGCATCAGTGACACTGAACGATTCAAGCGCTACGGCCACGAAGAGGACACTGAACACTGGCAACTCTAAACATCGCTCTGGTGATCTGTGTTAAAGCCAGAGGCGAAGGTCATCAATTCAGTTGGATATTAGCTGCTCACCTCTAACGGTACTCGCCTATCACTTGGCAGACAAGCTGCAATGTGTTGCCTACGTTATTTAACAAAACGTCTTTGTGATGCATTTCACCGTTGTTGTCGAAGGTCATTCGCCCACGCACAAATTTTTTGGACTATCTATTTGGCAGTTCAGTGATCGATTCTAGCTAATCATTCCAAATGCTTGGCAAGATGCTCTAACATTAAAGACTACTCCCTTCCCTCCTACCGTAAATCGACAAGAGAGCTGAGATGGCGCAGTCGATTTTAGTTTTCCTTGCACTTCATAGGTGATTAATGCAGGTTCAGAGCTGCGTAAAATTCGTTTATTATCTGCTAATTCTTTGAGCTAGGAATGCACCTCATTGCATATTGGTACAGTCAGCTGAGAGACGAATTGCAAGTGTTCACCTGTGAACGATAGAAATAGCATGGTGTTCCGGTGTGGCCATGCTTTGCGGCTGCAGTTCGTCTTGACTCACCTGATAGGTGACTAAAAATCAACACATGGGTAAACCAGAAAATACAAGTTTGCTACGGTTGTTATGTCACGTTCACAGTTTCATTGATAACTCTGCTAGTTTTCACTTTATGAACATTTATTTGCTTTAAATTTGCTGCCATATTTTTTATTTATGTTGAAAGGTAAATTTCTTTAGCGATCGTGTTCTAACGGTACACTTTCGCTTTCGCTAGTTATGAAAGCTTTAACTTTTGAAGAATAAGCGGTCATTGCAACGCGTAATCATCGCTTTCTCTCCCACGTATTGTTACTAATTTATCCACCTCAGAGGATTAACGGCAAGTGATTAGGTCGAATCGGAACCTCCAACTTTCCAAGCGTGAGTCTGGCACGCTACGCCTGAGAAAACCTGATACGGGGAGAAAAGGTGCGAGAAATATCAACACAGTTTGGCAGTGATCAGTCTTACCTGTCGGAAAACAAGTGCATCACCTTCAATCATATCGGTGTTATAACGATGCTTTTCGTGGCCGCCCTCCACAAACACGAACACATTCTTCTCGAATCCAGCTCTGTTCAGCGCAGTTTTCAGCCTCAACCGGTTTTCGGAAAACAACGCATTCGAAACAATTGACTTCAACTGGTTGCACGCGGAGACATCCATCACAGCTCTAAGAACAACGGCAATCTGTCAAGCAGTAAACCTTTCTGATGACAAATTATATTTCACTCGCGGTGCGGTATTTATGTCATATTCGCGCGTTATCACACTGCACAGGAAAAGCGCGTACAACTACCGATAATTAATTTGCTCGGGTCTAAATTAAAACTTAAAGGCCAAAAAACCAAATTTTTAACCAAAGTAGTCGAACGCAGCTACAATATCATAGAGCATAACACACTCAGATAGAGCATACCCATTATCAGTAAGTCGTAGAGTGCCCATGAACGATTCTCAGCAGCCACCGACTGGTTCCACGTATAGTAACGGGTTGACAAGCTCTATTTTTTATCGCCATTAATGATTAACAAAGCTAAAGCAGCGTTTACCAAATTTACAATATCCAATCAACCTAAACTGATACCTCGGAATTACAATAGGCAACATTTGCTATTACGATGAAGGTCATATTCTTCATTGCAATGAAGTCATGATGAATGAAGTGTTTCCAAATATTGTACTGTTCGTTATGAAGTACCCCGCCGGTTGTTTGCAGAGAAGAGGAAAGTATCAGTAAAAACCGATTATCTGGGTCTGTGGACCTATGCCATACCTGCACAGTTGAATCGCGTGCTGTATCATTTGTTATCTGAAGACTGAGTGCTTCGTTCATGCACTAATGATGATACTGAAAATCGGGTCTTCAGTCATACGAACCGCTGCTGACAGATATGACTTCTGAAGCCAAGCCACGTCTCCACCTTGAAGAAGGTCCGTGAGAAATGGGCCGAAACTTCGATACTAGTCAGTCATCCGACTGAATAAATTATTTGCGTAGTGTAAAAACAAACGGTGTTTTATGCTGTGTTCAGTATACTTTTTTAAAAGCAACAGCCGACAAGGAACGAACTTGTTAGCAGCAGGTGTTTTTTGCTGGTAATCGACAGAAGACCTGCGCACAATATACATTATTTTATTGTTAAAGCTAATACTGAATCAAAAATCCGAGACCACTGTTAAATGCTCCAAACAAGATCCGCAACGGTTTTACACTTCAAAAAACGAACCAACAGCACTAAACCTCCAGATTTCTTCGCTTTTCTTCGACTTGCTCCGTATTTGCTATGCAGTGGCTGCTTTCATAATGTTCCTCATTCTCGAGCAGGCTCATCATTAGATGATTCTGCTAGCGCTAGACTAAGTCGTTTTACCGTGTGATGAAAACAGAATCATCGGTAATGGGCGAACTACTGGATGAGGGGCTTTCTGGAAGCCATCGCAACAGAGCAGAAATGCAGCAAAATGAAGAAACTCACATACGCAGATATATAGTTGACGAGACACGTGATTCTACGCCACAATATGTGCATCATGCAATCCTACGGCCACTTGATTTCATAACAACTCCACTTAGTAGTGTCCCCTACATCGAATTTTTATACTACTATGATCACTCCCAAACCAAGCCACTAACCTGGCACCACGGCTATTCATCCAAGTGGGTCAACTTCGTTCGTTAAGTCCGACGTACCCCAATATGGTTCGCATTATGAAATGCGAGTTCGTTGCTGCTCTTCCTTAGCATTTAACAATGAAAGTGTAGCATAAGGTACCAAATTAAATCGCAAAACGATAAAAGGACTACATAGCTAAATGCAATAAATATTTATGCATATTAATTTAAATCCAGTGCCTAAAACTCAAGATTTCTCCTGGAATAGAGCCTATTACCATGGTGCTGTAGTTATGAAAACTGAAGTATTATACTTTTCATAAATTATCCATTACAATGAAATGAAGCTAGTATATATAATTCACAATCGCCATCTGACCTACAGAAACTGCATTTGTTAACAGCGTTCTTATTTATGAGCTAATGTCAAATCGTGCTACTCAATTTTATTTCCAATGCTAATTTCTTATAAAAAAAATTTTTTTCACAAAGATGCCTTACAGAATTACACTGCACATAACACATTTCTAAAACGTTTCAGATTACGTTCGACCCGTCTGTACAGAGCGACGTTAAATTCGCAAAAGAATGGCACGCTACAAAAAATATAATCAAGTAGCAAACCCCGTGCAGAGCTCACCTCCTCCCCTCGCTATGCCTTAACCTCGATTTCGATTGTGGTAGCAACTTCAAGGGTAGCTTGCAAGAAGAGCTTCGGTCAATGCCAACTCTTTGTTCATGCATTGGCTAAGTTCAATAAAAGTTGTCGTTGCCGCTTCTTAGCTAGGACAACTGCCGTCGTCGGCTCCAAGCCTGGATAAGAAAACAGGAGGGTTGGGAACCGCGGTGGAGTTTCCGAGGTTGAAACTTAGCCATCTGCCTGTTATAGT